AGCCTCCTCAGATTCTGCACTACAGACAGACCATAATTTCACCCCCTGCTGAAGGAGGCTTGAGTTGTCTGGGGCTTTCTGAAGTTAGGAACCATGCTGGGGTCTCCACCCATGTCCTGGCATCCCTTCACACATGCGTCAGTTCATCTGTTCAGTCTACCCACGACCTGCCACGCGCCCGGCCAGACCTCAAAGTTTCGAGTAGAATGATGGCATCAAAGGGCGTGTATATTTTAAACTGTAATAGATATAGCCAAACTCACTTCCCAGAAGCTGCCTAAACTGTACCCCCACCAACAGCCTATGAGGCTGTCTACCTGCCCCGCCCCCCACCACACCAGCTGGGCATCACTGAGCTGCTTCATTTTACCTAGAGCCGGTCAGCATCTCTGTCTTTAATTTGGCATTTCCCTGATCACTACAGCTTTATCAGGTGCCTCCTCGCACGTCTCTGGGAGCAGCCAGCTTTTGTTTTTGGCACGCGGAAGGTGAGGGTTGGGGCGATCACTTGGCTAGGGCCAGTCCAGGGGGAGTTCTCTTTGGGCCGGGCAGTCCCCCACCACTTCCTCTCACCCCAAAGCCTGGAAACAAGGACTTCCCTCTCCCACCCACGCCGCCCTCGCCTCTGCCAGGGCCCAGCAGATGGGGGAGGCCGCCTTCCGGTTGAAGAAAGGAAGCTGCGTCCTCGATTGTTCTGTGTGGGGCCCGCGGCGAAGGCCCGGGCTGCAGGAAAAGGCCACGTGGTCACCAGGGCCATTCCTCCTGGCCTGTCCCCAGGCCCGCTGGAGCAGAGCACGGCTCCTTTGGGCGAGTGGATCAGGCCTCAGAGGCTGTTTCCTCATCATCAGATGAAGTCCTTGGGCACTGAGAGTGGAGAGGGAGCCAGGCAGCTCTGCACACGCCCCCAGCTCCAGCATCTCCCCACCTGAGGCCTCGGATCCTCGACCCCTGCCCACCCTTTCCCACCAGCCTCATCATCCTGTGACAGCAGATGTCACTGCATCTTCTGGCTGGAAAGACCCCCGAAGTCTCACCGTCCAAGGCTCTCACACTGATCAAGAGTACGTGAAGCCCAACCCAGGAGAAGAGACAGTAGCAGCGACAACTATAATATGGCAAATCTTTATGCTGACTCTGCTGGGTTTTGTGTAATTAATAATGAATCATTAGTGGTTATGATACCGATGGCTGCCACGTACGAGTCTTAGGGTGCACCAAGCACATGCTAGGTTCTCGTCCTGCCTCACCTCGTCTAATCCTCACAGCAACCCTGTGAGGGAAAAGGACTGTCCTCCCATTTCATAGACGGGAACAGTGAGGCTCAGAAAGATTAGGCGACTGGCCCAAGGTCACAGCAGCAGTGTATGGCGGAGCTGGGATTCACACCCTGCTGGACAAGGGCAGGGGAGGTGGCACTCAACCCAGACAGACCCTCTCATCTTCCTCCACCCCCAAGTCTGCCCTTTGGCAGAAACCTGAGCTTGACCTGGGCCTTGGTCTTGGCCGTGGGCCAGATCCTGTGGGGGCTCCAGAGAAGGGCGAACTAGGGACAACGTGAAGCATCTCCCACACGGCGAGAAATTGTGACTTGTCACTTAGAAGGCTGAGCCAGCTGGCAGGTGGTGGTTGCGGAATTGCGGGGGATGGGGTTGTGGAGGCAGGTGTCTCCAACAGTTTTCGGGGGGCGGGGAGTGGCTTTTAAAGCAATGTGGGTTGGACTCAAAATCATATAGAATCCTCTCAAGCTGGCACAGAGAAACTCACCATTTTATAGCTGTCTGTAAGAGTTGGATACTATTGTTCCACTTAAAATATTTCAAACCCGGAATGTCATTCTAAAAAGTTCTCCCGGATTAGAGATTAATTTCAAGCAGGGATAACGTTTGGGGGTATTATGGGTTTCAGTTAAGTAGTTGGAATTAATATTTTGAATACGAGCCCATTTGTAAAGAACGGAAGCCCTAACATTTACCACCTGGCTGTTCCCCTCCTTGGGCCACTGAAGCCCAGGGTGTGGGTTTCATTTTAATGATTCCAATTGTCTGGGACTAGTCCAGCGGCTCTCCATTCATGTCACGGCACTTCAAAATCTAAACAAAAGTAGTTTGGGGTGAAGAAGATGGGAAGGGCCTTTTATATCACATTCATTTACATTCATCTTCTCTTACGTTCTAGGCTTTTCCTAAACAAGCCCTTCTCGCTTCCGGGGGGGCACCGGTTGAAATAGCACTCTGCCCACGGACGAGAGGAACCGTCTCGAGGAAGTGTCTCGAGGAACTGCTGTGCTACGGTAATTCAGCTTCTTAATACGATGTGGCTGATTAATAGCAAGTCAGGCAGCTTCCAACTCGGCATTTCAGCCACAGAGTCGTCACCTACACCTGTCCCGTCACCGACTCCTCACACAGCCTATGGAGCGTTCTGTCTTTGTCCCCAGTGGCAGATGACAAAACCGCACCTCCAAGGGGTGACTTTCCAAGGCCCCAGAGCCAGCGCTGGTCAGTAATTCTGCCCCCAGGGCCTAAGCCCATTGAGGACCACTCCACACTGCCCCTCCCAGGGACCCTGAAACTTGGCCCTTTCTCGGGTGCTGGTCCCCTCCCAACCAGGATTATAGACCCAGGAGAATGAGACGTGGGACATTGAGGGTCCTGCGCCCATAGGGGTGTCCCAGGAAAGGGAGGGAGCAAAGGGAAACAGATAGAAGGAAACTGGCCTCCAGCCACTTGAAAATGCCAATCATTCATGACTTGCACTATTTAAAATTTTTTAAAGTCAGGGAGTGGCCCTGTGTAAAAGAGGAAGACCTGGGCTGGGGAGAAAATTCAATACAAGGAGTAATTTACATTTGTCCGAGTTCTGTAGTCTCAGCCACAATTCTCAGCTCATTACGCGCCCCATCGCTGACTCCCGTCTGACAAGGATAACCACGGCAATAACCATTAAAGGTGAAAGCCGCTTCCATTAAGTGTCGTACCCTGGGCCTGGCGTAGTGCCGACTGCTTGACAAACGTCTCCCATAATTCTCGCAGTAAGGCATGGCGCAAAGACTACGACTGGCCCCAGTTTGCAGATGAGGAAACCAAGGGTCAGAGTGGCTCAGGTCACACCGTGGAAAGTGGCAGAGCCTGGACTCCCTCCCAGGTCTGCTTGACTGCAGTCTAGGTGTGCCCTGGGTTCCTCTAACCAGGAACCAAGGACTGGCACACAAACGGAAAGGTCACCTCAGGTCCCCTGACTCAGCCTGCCTCCAGCAATAGTGCCTGGACGTACTCAGAGCCACCAAATGGAGCACCAGGCCTTGAAGGCTGTAACCCCTGTCTGTGCACAGATGGAGAGGCTGAACCCCCAGCCGGGCCTGTCCCCGCCCCACCGCCTGCCGCGTCCATCTCATCGGAACGCAGTCCCATTCACGCTCCACGGCGTTCTTCCTCCTGGCGCTCACACTTTCCCAAGTTCTAACGGACACCCTCCGCCCCCCCTGCCTACCCTGTCCCTTCTAGGGATGAAAACTGACTTAGCCCAAAACCCCTAGGAAAGCCTTTGTGTCTTCCCAGTTGTCCCAGATGCCTTGCAAAGCCTGAGAAGGCTTCGAGCTTAAGGCTTCTTAGGAAAGCAAGGTCCACACCAAATAACTAACATTCATGTTTCCCTTCTGGAATGGAAAGTCAGCCCCCTGCCTGGGTTAGCAGCCACTTTGGGGAGTTCAAGGGCTTGGGCCCAGGCGTGGAAATCAGGTTGGCCGAGGAGCCGCTGAGGGTCTCGATAGGCCCCCCACACACCTCTTTGGGGCAATCATGGTTACACCCTCGTTTTACGTTGTACTGTGACCTCCCTGTTCCCCTATAACTTCAGAGTCACTAAGTGGAAAAGCTATAAGATTTGGTGTCCCCACAACCCCTCCATTCCTTCCTTACCCCCGCCGATATCAGGTGGCCCAGAATGTTCCTAAATCAGTGAAAAGTTCCAACTCCTGGGGAAATTCTGTTCCTCACTTGCAGACCCGTGAGGGTGGACGTTAAGAGAGGCTACAGGACACTGTCTACAGCCAGTCATGGGGGTCAAATTGGGGGGCTGCCTTCAGGGCCTGCCTAGCTCTCTCAGAAAGGTCCTTGTGCCCCAGAAATGGCTACTTTCACCACCCTCTCTTAGGGTGGTCCTTCAAGTTAAGTCACTTGCCCTTCCGCCTACCACTGCTCCTTCCACACCCAGGAAGACCATCTCTGGGATCAGGGAACGTGTCAGAAAAGAAGACCCGGGGTCCCAGTGTCCTGCACCGAGATCTACGTTATCCTGGGAACATTCTGGAGACCAGGCTGGAGAGAAGAGGCCAGTGGGCTCCTCTCAGTTGTGAGGGCCCTGCCAGAGCCTCTGGACCCTGACACTTGATGTCTATGAAAGTGGCCACCTGCCTCGGAGAAAAAAAAAACAGTACACCACAAAGCAAAGCAGGTTTCTATGACAAGCTGTCCTCTCAAACAAAACACCGTTTGGAATAGTAAAGCGTTCCCCAGGTTGTGCTGTGCACCTGAAAACCCCGGAGACACAAGTTCAGACCCAACCGCAAAGCACTGTGCAAATAACTCCGGAGGCTTCAGAGGCCCGGGTGACTTCCCAGAGTGTCTGCCACATGGGGTCAAGAAGGCCTGAGCCGGGGGTGGGGGTGGGGGCAAGCCTTGGTCTCTCCGGTGACCCAGACAGCATGCTTGCTTTGCCAAAGAGGCACCTGGTAGAATATTGTTCTGCTTTCTCAGCACCTTGCAAGGAAGGACAAAGGAAGCCCAGGGGCCAGAGGCAGTGGGAGGGAAGGTCCTAGAGCCATGACCCCAATCTGAATCAACTGGCAAACTCTCCAGGAGGCCATCTGGCCAAAGAGGGCTCAGAGGCACTTCCATTCATGCCTCAAGCTTTCCTGTGCCCCTGGTGAGGCCCCGCTCTAAACCCTCCAAGCTCCGCACCCCGAGCAGCGCCCCCAAAGCTTGCCCCCAATGAGTACTCACATGCCCTGCTCCCCATACTGGTTGTAGAACTCCATGTGGCTGCACGCCTGGATCCAGCCAACTATCCAGGTCTCCTTCTTGGGGATGGGCGGCATGACCACCTGGGCAGAGGCACGGAAATGGGGTGTCCGGTAGCGGAGCACCACGCTGGAGGACTCATCGATGCTGGTGGGGATGGGGTCGATAGAGGCTTTCACATCAATCACCGTGATACCTTCCCTGAAGACTCTGGTTTTGCCCCCGATGCTCTGAATACAGCCCATGGCACACAGTACCGCTATGATCTCCAGGGAAGGCCAGCAGTCCCAGAGAAAACTGGGCATTGAAAGGATGGAGGCTGCCGGACCCAGTGCAGACAGTGCTGCTTTCCAATCTCAAATCTCAAGACCGATATCCATAGGATAGAAAATTCACCGAGTAGGGGGCGTTTGCATGTCACTACCTCGGGCCTGTTTATAAATAAGGATTTTGCTGCATTTCAAGAGCCCTGGGTGCACTCTTCTTCTGCTGGCAGTGGACAAAAATCACCGATATTCTTTGGGTTAAAAAAAGAAAAGTTTGGACGTTAATGGATAATCACGTTGTTCAGACATCCAGCCCTTCCGTGCCTCACAAGTGGGGAATGCAGATCAGAGACGCTCCCTGAAGTCTTCCACTGAAGAAGGTGAATGCCGGCAGACACATAAATAAGGAAGGCTCTGTCCCCAACACGGCGCCGCCACCCTCGCTGCAGAAGACCGACTTCCTGCCCTCCTGCCTTCCGCACGCGCTCGGGACACACGCACGACGGGGCTGAATCAATGGAAGGGTCGTTTCTACTCGGTCGGCGGAGGTCCGGGCGCCCTCCGGGGCGAGCGCCGACCCGCGGCTTCCTGGAGGCGAGAGCCGGTGCAACACGAGACCCCGTCGGAGCCCACAGGCGGGCGCGGGCCGCCGCCCCCACGCGGGCGCGCCGCGTCCCCTCGTCGCTGTCTCCGCCTGCCGCCGTGCGGGACCCCGTGGTTGCGCCGGAGCCGCCGCCTAGTTCGCCGCGGGCGCAGAGGACCTGGTGGGAAGGGACAGGGCGTCAAGGCCCACGTCAAAGTTGAGCCGAACTTTGCCACGGGGGGCGCAGGCTGCGGAGCTGACGGCGCAGCTCTGGGCGGTCTCCCGGGAGGCGGCGCCCCCGCCCCGTCAGGGGCAGCGGCACAACCGCGCGCACCAGCGAATAATCGCCGCCCCTGACATCTCCGCTGACACCCTCTGGCCCAGGGGCGGGGTGAGGGGACGACAGGCTGGCACTGCAGTGGGCCGCGTGGACTTGCCGGCCCTGGCACCGCGCCCACCGCCTCGCTGCCGGCGCCCCTGCCCCAGCTGGGTCCCTCCGACCCACTGGGGGCGCAGTGCCAGCCCCGCAGGCTGATCTGATCGGGCGCGCGCCCTTTCCCAGGCAGGGATCCCCGACCCTCGGAGGGCGCAGTGCCCTAGCCCAGCCGCATCGGGCAGCTCTGTCCCCACAACCCCCTTGCCAGCCCGGAGCGGCCCCGAGTCCCCGCGCGTCGGGCGCGCTCGCCGCGGCCGAGGAACTTTGGCGCGCACGCCCCCACCCGGACGGCGCCAACGACTCACCTGCCCCTCGGGCCAATCCGGGTGCCCCGGCCGCCGCCCTCCGGCCGCCCCTGACCCCTCCGCGGGCAAGTCCTCGGGGCGCCCCCACTCCCTTCCCCGGGCAGTGTCCTTCGGCTCTACTGGGGTCTGGGGCCGGCGTGGGCGCCCCCGGCCCCCACGTCCTCCTAGCTCGGAGCTGCTGGGGGTGGCCGGGGGCGGAGGGCTGAGGCTCGGGGCTCTCTCGCCCCCACCCCGCGCGCCTCCTTTATTTTATGATCATTGTGAGCGTGCTGTCGCCGCTCAGCCCCGCCGCCGCGCCGCAGCCGCCTGGCGCGCCCCGCGCTGCCTCGCTCTGCTGCAGCATCGGAAAGGCAACCAGGTCAAACTTTGCAGAAACTCAGCCCCTGCGCCGGCCTGGCCCCGCGTCTGCCCGCAGCAGCCGGCCGGAGCGCAGCGCACGCAGGCACCGCCGCCCGCTCGCCGGCCCCGCGGGGATGCAGGTCCGCAGGCGGCGGCGGCGGCGGCGGCGGGCGCCGCCTCCTCCTCACCGCCCGCCCAGCTCTCCACCCTCGCTCCCTGCACGCCGCCCGCCCTGCCCCTGGTGAGCCTCTCCCCCTCTCCCCCCTCTCTCCCTCTCTCCCTCTCTCCCTGTCTCCCTCTCTCCCTCTCTCTCCCTCTCTCTCTCTCTCTCTCTCTTTCTCTCTCTCTCTCACTCTGTCTCTGCAGCTGCTGGGAAAGCTGAGCCTCTCCTTGCATAAACGACATTTCCTTTTTGGCAAGCCCGGGGAACTCTGGGTAGTGTAGTCCGGCTTGTCTTGGGTCCAGGTGGGCTACTCCCTGTGCCCTTTGAACTCGCATGTTTTCCGGGGCTCAGGGCACTCGGAGAAGGGCCGCACTGCCCTGATATTCCTGGCCTCGGGCGGGCCGTGGCTGTGAAAACAGTACCAGGGCTCTGGGAGGCTCCGGGGCTGGGAAGGTCTGGGTGGATGAGAAGTTTCTGGAAAGGGTCCCTGTATGGCTCCCTCCATACTGGGCTTCTTGGCACCCTGACAGGTGGTCAGGCCTGTTGGACCCTAACTGTGACTAGCGCTGTACAGTTTCATTTCAGCCACCACTGGCCACCCCTGTGTAGGAGGCCTCTTTTGTGTATTTCACAGAGCAGGCATCCAAAGCTGGGAGATTGGGAGACTTGCCTAAGGCCCCACCCTGGCAGGTGTCCCAAGTGAGACTGGTGTTCTGAGTACAGAGGTTCAAAGGGGGTTGGAACCTGGACAGTGGGGGGGGGGAGTGACAGCTGTGAACCTCTCTAAGCACCCTCAAGCTGTTAGCCCCACCCTCACCTTGCAACTACCCCTAGGGAAAGGCCAGGTGGTTTGTGACATCACAAAACCTTGCAGCCACATTGTCCTCCCCCCATGACTCTGCCTTCCAAAGGTGCTCACAGCAGGGCACAGGGCAGGTGGTGCCAGCCACTCCCAGTGAGTGCCCGTGAGGGCAAGGACCAGAAGCGCGGGGGCTCTTATTAAGGTCTCTGGTCATATTAAGGTCTCTTATTGGAGAAACGATCAGCCAGGCCGAGTGATCCATCGCATGTTGGCACCAGCTCAGGCCACAGGAAGTATCCGATTAAGATGGCCACTGCCTCGTACCCAGCCACGCCCCTGCCTTCTCCCTGCTCACTGCCATGGACTCTCACGCAGCCTCATGAGGGAGGGGTCATCCCTTTCCGCTGCAGCTAGTAGGCAGCTGATTCCTAGTCCCGCTGACTGAGGCAGGGTGGCCCTCATAATCTGCTTACTGCTAGATGGTAGGTCCCCAGGCAGCACAGGTCTCTTAAGGACCCCGTGTAAGTTTCCATTTCCTGGAAGAAGCTTTCCGTTGCCTCGTCACCCACAGGGGACTCCCTGCCCTGTGTTCCTGGCTCCCACAAAACACTGTGCTCCCTGGGAAGCACACGACGGCCATCCATACCTCCTTGGTCATCAGATAATTATTATGTTATTGAGTTCATATGTAGGTGAGATATTAACTTTTAGGGTGCCCATCTCATCTCCCAACACCATCCCCCCCAGTGTCTAGAACAGAGCAGACCTCATTGGCCAGGATGCCCCCTTGACGCCAGGGACACTGTCCTGGTGACAAGAACATAAGTGCCCTGTGAACATGTGCTGAGCTGCACATCTTTCTCATTTGATGTGAAAAGGACAGAGGCCAGAGCCCTACGCTGCTCACTAAGTGGCCACGCCCCTGAAGATGATTTCCTGGAGATGTGTCCACTGGATGCCTGTTGGAAGTGACGTTACTCCCCCTGGCCCTAGGCTTGGCCTAGTTTTGTGTTAATATAAAGTACCCACTGTATGTTAGGTGCTGCATGGGCGAGGATTGTGTTCTTTGTCCTTCACCTTGACCTCGGGAGGTGGGCTGTACAGAGAGACCCAGGGTTTGGGGGGCAGTGGCTTTTCTGAGTCTGGATCCCCACCCAGATCTGAAGCCCACTCATCTCCCCCTCCAGGCACAGCACCCTTGCTGGCTGGGACCAGCCCCTCCAAGCCGGGATGGAACTGACAGTAGAAAGCCCTGTCTCTGGTAAGTATCACTGCAAGAGGGTGAGGGCACTTACTAACTAGGAGACGCCTGTCCCTTAACCTTGGCCCCAGCGCTGCCTCCTTTCATTTCATCCACTACGTGGTGCTTTGTCTTGGGCTAGTTTGGGGGCTGGATCTGCAGGGAGAGGACCCAGGCAGCATCTGTGGTTCTGTTTGCCTGGCTCTGAACTTCAGACTGGCTTCCCCAGAGCCAGCCCTGACAGATAGGGGGGTCTGAAAGGGCTCAGCTCACACGTGCATCCCCTGTCCCAGCTCCTGATTGGCCCTCCGAGGTTCTGGCTGCTCCCCCAAACCCCCTGCCTCCCCATGCAGCCCTTCTTCCTGCTCAGCATTTTCTGGAGCTCTGTGGGTGCTGGGCACAGACCCACGGCTGTCTCAGCATATGTGGAAGGCCCGGGATCCATCCACACGAGTGTGAAATGCTGGCGTCTGCAGAACAGAGGAAGGGGACATCTGCTTGAGACGTGCCCAATGCCACGGGGACGCTCACAATGCCCCCCTGGACCCGTTCCCCTCCCCCAGTCCACAGTCTCCCCAGGCTCCTCTGCCATGATGTCACCAGTGTATGGGAAAGAGAGGGGTCAGGGTGCACAGTCCCACCCCTTCCCAGAGATGAACTCCTTGCTGTGGCAACTTGGGACTCAAAGTGTTGTCGGTGGGCGGACAAGGTCACTCAACTCCTGGCGATTTTTTCCCCATCGTTGACTGGACACCTGTGCTGTGCTGAGTGCTCAGAAGACACTGGGGAACCCAGCCAGGGCCAGGACAGATGACAGGCGTGGTCGCCATGGCACTTACCTCCCTGTGGGCCAGAAAGACGTCAGGGGATAACTCCAGGAATGATGAATAGAGGTATTAATTAACATAAATAATAAATAGGTACAAATTTATACTCAAAATAGATATGAGTAAGTATCGATTGCTACAAACCAGGATGCATCTAAGTTGTCTTGATGTGCATGTGTCCAGTATTGAGCCTGAGGAGGTAAAGGATGCACTTTGCAGAGGTGTGAGGGGTGTGATGGTACTTGTGTGTGAGTGAGTGTATTAGAGGTCAGAGTGAGTAGATGTGTGTGTGTGTAAATGCATTGTGATGGTGTGAGTGTGTGTGTTTCTGTGTGTGAGGGTATATGTGACAGTTGTGTGTAACTGTAGAGTGTGTCCACGTAAGTGTATGTGTCCACGAGTGTGTGTGTGTGTGTGTTTGTGTGTCCATGTGGGAGTGTGTAGGAGGTGTGTAATGGTGTGAGTGACCATAAGCGGTGTGGGTATAGATGAGTGAGTGTGTATTTTATGTGTGACAGTTTGTGCGTTGTGTGCGAGTATATGGGAGTGTGTGTGAGTGCATAAGGGTGTGTTTGAGTGTGTTCTAGTTATGTGAAGGTATGTCTGTATGAGCGTGCGGGGGGGTGTGAATGTGCATGATGGTGTGTCCATGAGGGTGTGTATGAGCATGTGTGTCTGTGGGTAAGGGTGAGTTTGTGTTCATGTGCATATGTGGATATGTGTGTGTGTGATGGTGAGTGTAGGTGAGCATGTTTGTGGGTGTGAGTAGGTGTGATATATGAGTAAGTGAGTGTGCATGTCTGTCTGTGCATGTGGATGTGTTGGTGTTATTTTTAGACTGAGGGAGCGTGTCTTTAAGGAGTCTGGGGTGGAGATTCCCGTGGCTAAATCAGGTCAGTAGTGGCGGGTGAGGGGTTGTTTGTCCCAGCCTGGTTCACAGGCGGTCCCTGCCTGAGACCCCTGGCCTAGAGCCCTCTGCACGACTTCTGTCCCTCTGGCCTGCTTCTGGGTAGAAGCCTCCAGAGCTACAGCTCTGAGCACAATCGTCTCTTCCTGGACAACCTCTTGAACCCACAATTGCACAATCATCCCCCCAGAGGAGGAGCTGAGGCCCAGCGGCGCCCCAAGTTCAGGCAACAGTCGCTGAAGTGTGCATGGATGGAGCCCCGCTCACCTGACTGCCCCTCCGCGCTCCCACCCCACCCAGCATCATGGGGGCGAGTCCCGCGTGGGACACGGGAGGACGCTGTCGCCGTGCCTACCAGGCTTCTCCGGCCAGGACTCAAGCCCCTGCGGCCCCCACCCGCCCTGCAGCAGCCTGGAAGGACGGAGGCGGGTGGACAGGCTGGGTGCGGCCAGGATCGGGTGCGGCACTGGGAGTTCTCCAAGGTGCTAAAATAAACCCAGCGAAGGATCAGGTTTCCCAACCGAAATAACCCAGGAGCGGCCTTAGAAATGCGAACTGAGAAAGCGATCCGGGGAGGGAGGCCAGGGGTGGGGAGGTGGTGATGAAAAACCCTTTCCACGGGGCTCCCTCCCCATCCTGGCAGGGGACCCCCAGCTGTCCCTCCCTCCTATCCCCTCCAGCTGTGCGGCTCCCCAGGCCATCTGCCCAGAGCGGAGCTTCTCACCCATTCCCCTCCCCTTCCGTTCTGGAGTCATTGTCCCAAATAACCAGCCTCCTCTTGGCCCTTGGTCTTTGATGGCAAGGTTTGTAGTAGATTAGAGCCCAGAATCCAGAATCAATCAGCCATTCATTCCATATATATTTATTGAGTGCCTACTGTGTGCCAGGCACTGCCTGGGCCTCTGGGCCCATAAGTGAACAAATAGACAGCATTCCCTGCCCATGGGCTAATGACGCTCTGCTAGGAGGACACAAGCCATGAACACAGAATACACGAGTGTAGGGTGTGTTAGAAAGGGTAGTTTAAGGATAACGGAAAGAGCAGAAGAGGGTCAGGGGTATTGGGGTGGGGTTTGAGTCCCGGGGCGCCTCACTGGCTCACTGGATTGCCTGGATAGAGTCCCTTCTGGAATCCCTTCACCTCTGAGCCTCAGTGTTCGCATCTGTGCAATGGGGAGTCAAAGCCAGTCTATGAAGTTGCTGTGATAGTTAAGGGACACGCATTTAGCACTGAGTCTGGCCCAGAGCAACTGTTAAGTGCAAGTGAATGATCAGTATACTTAGCAGTAATAGAAAATCTATCTTAGACATTTAAAGATAACAACTAAGTGTCTATAACGTACAAACTGCTCTAGGTCCCACGAAGCTGCCAGAAAACCTTTTCTGCTCTCGAGAGAGAGGCAGTGTAGCCAAGTGGTTAGGCTCAAGGGCTTTGGGCCGAGACCCGAGTCTCACTCCTGGTCTGCTTTTTACCAGTTGTGGGCCCTGGCAAGTCACTTCACTCCCACCACGGCCCTCCCTAGCGATAGACTATGCTAGAGCGGGAAGGCTATGTGGACCAGGGGCCAGGCGGGGCAATGGTTCCAGGGAGGACAGGTGGTCTGCAGGCATAGCGCCACCTCTGGGTAATCTTTGCCCTTCCCACTGGTCCTTGCATGGAGCCTGGCAAACAGCAAGCCTCCCAAAGTGTTCCATGAGTGGGCGAGTGAAAGAGTGAGTGACAGATGACTGACAAACAGGTGGGGCGTGAAGAAGCTTGGGACACGTGGCCAGGAAGACAGCCGCAGCCCCAGAGTTAGAGGGCGTCCCAGCACTGGCCTTCACCAGCTGTGTGGCCTCACAGGTGATGTCACCACTCTAGCCTGCTCTTCTCTAACATGGGAGAAGGGTGGTTGGACTTTCCCTGTCAGCTGGAAGTATCTACAGTCCTGCCATGTTCTCCCGGGTCTGGGCACTGTGCTAAGGCAGCTCCAGCTGGCCCATCAGATCTCAGGGGACGCACCTGAGCACCCAGTTTTTTTGGCACTTGCCACTTGAGCCACTTATTCATAGTCTGCTTTAGTGCACAGGGATGTATGTGTGAGGACAGCCATGCGAGAATAGTTTTGCGTAGTCACAAAATGGAAACAATCTACGTGTCCAATAACAGGATTACTTCTATAAACTATGGCCTATCCATGTGACAGAATGACAAACAGCCATTGAAAAATGATGGGCTGTAACAGAAATATGGCCAGGTTTATAGTTGTTAAATGAAAAGGGTAGGTTATTTTTTTGAAGGGCATATAATGTAACATATATATATTTTTTATATAATGTAACATATATATATATTTTATATAATGTAACATATATATATTATATAATGTAACATATATATATATATATATTAAATTGGGGACTTGGGGGAGGGGACCAATGTTGGGGAATTGGGGATGGGGACCAGCCAAGTTGTTATTCTTCAATCTTGGAGGGTGCCAGTCACCACCTGGCTGCCCATCAGCAGCTCGTGGCTCCTAAGCTCAATGTGCTGTGTTCAATCTTAGTTGCGGGTGGGCATAGCCACCATCCCATGCGAGAGTTGAATCCGGCAGCCTTGTTGTTAAGAGCGTGCGCTGTGTCCACTGAGCCATATGGACAGCAGCTCAGCTCAAGGTGCTGAGTTCAGTCTTAGTTGTGAGTGGGCGTAGCCCACCATCGAACAGGCAGTCTTGTTGTTAGTAGCACGTGCTCTCACCAGCTGAGCCATCCTGCCACCTGTTGGCAGCTCAGCTGCAGTTCAGCTCGGGTACAGTGTCACTGGCCCATGTGGGAATCGAACCGGCAGCCCTGTTGCTCAGAGCTCGTGCTCTTAAGCTAACTCTTAACCAACTGAGCCACTCGGCTGGCCCTGTAATATATTTTTAAATGCATATTTGTGTGTGTGTGTGTGTATCATATACATAGATACAGTTTGTTTAGTATATATATGTCTGGTTATTAAAGTAATACTTGGTGGTTGTAAAATATTTCAGTAATTGGAGATGAGACAAGGGAGAATTCCTTTATAATCTGACTACCTAGTGTTCACAGAGGTAGTCTCCAGATAGTAGGATTACACCTATATCACCTGTACTTACTGAATTTATTGAAGCAAACGTGCAACCATTTTGATAATAAGAAAAAATAAGGCTATTGGTAAAATTACACTGTTTTATAAAATGACTAATATTTAATGAGTGTGTATCCTATCTCCCCAGCTAGACTGCAGGAAAAGATCAATGAAAGTATAGATTCAATGAATGAATGAATTCTAAGACTCTTGAGAAGAGCGACTGTGTGGCCTGTGGCAGGCACTCATAAAGGGATGGCACCTGCTTCTCAGCTGCCTGAGAATGTGAACAGGGTCGCCTCACCTTACAGAGAGAGGCCAAGATGCTGACACAGGCCTCTGGGTATTAATAGCTCCTGTCTGGGCTGGGCTCCTCTGCCCCTCGTGGGGTCAGCCCAGGTCCTGGGCCCCATCCAGGAAGAGTGGGGTGAGTGCCCTGGTGGGCAGCTGAGAGAGCACATCCAAGTCCTGGTGGTCTCAGGGATCTGAGTCCAGAGGCCCTCGCGTCCCACACCAGGGACTTCTTGGGTATCGGACGCCCCCTCTTTGGGGCTGGAAGCCTTCAGGCTCTGAGCCTCAGCTTCCTCGTCTGTAAAATGGGGATGATATCATGCCTTCACAGGAAGGTTGGTTGTGTGGTGTCAGTAAGAGAGCACATAGAGAGCTCAGTGCACTCTGCACTGCCTGCCACCCGTGTGCTCTGCATACATGTTCACGTGCATGTGTCCAGGTCCAGGATAAAGCGGGCACAGGTCATCATGCTACAGCCAACAGGGAGGGATGTGACATAGCCTGGGACATCCTCCTCTGTGGCTGCGTCTAAATGGAACACTCTGGAAAAGGAATGCCACAGAGTCTACAAGGAAACACAGACTGAAGGCTCCTGGAGTCTGGCTTCATGCCAGCCAGGGATGGGGTGGGTCTGGACCTTGGGGGTTGGTCCTTCCAAAGGGAAAGAGGACTGTGCCTCGTTTGCTAAACAGAATCCGTTCCTAACCCCCAGTGTTGAAGGCTCACTGTGTGGCAGGCACCCTGCTCTCAGAGACCTCACAACAGCCCTTGGAATAGTAACACTGTTATTTCCCTGTTACAGGTGGAAAAACCCAGACCCAGAGAGGTCAAAGGACTTGCTCAAAGTCTCACAGCTAGCTGGTGGCCAGAGCCCCGGGTCATCCCTCATCTGCCTGACTCTGGAGCCCATGGGCTGGTTCCCTGTGGCCAGAGAGCACTCACCCCCACCTCAGGCAGCTTCCTGTCCTTGGGATGCTCTGCACCTGGTCCCCAAAAGGCTGTGGGGCAGGCCTGGGCTTCATGAGCAAGCTCAGTGATTGGAAGGGAGTCACGGCCTCCTCCCAGTTGGGTAGACAGGCCTTGGCTGCCCTGAGCCATGAGACGGGGGCATTCACTGCTGACTCTTCTGGTCACCCGAAACCAGTGAGCCCTAAAAGGGCTGTGGAGACTTTCCCGCAGTCACCCGGGTGGGTGTAGGAAGGCCTGACTCAAACTCAGAATCCTCCTTGAGTGGGTCCTCTGAGTTTGCCCTCTCTAGGTTTCCAGTCCCTTTTGCCCGCTTTGCTCCATTCACAAGCCCCCTGGGCCTCTCAGCCCTCACAGGATAGGCTGTCCCCTGCCCGGGACAGCCCGGGAGCCCTGGTTCTATTCCTGCAACACGTCTGCACACTTGCAATCACTTACATGTGTCATTCATTTAATCCTCACTGATCTGTGAGCTTCCCGGGGACAAGGATGGAGCCTTTCATTTGCTGCAGTGTGCCAGGCACCTAGCATGGTGCCAGGTGCTCGGTAACTATTTACGGGTTGCCTGAAGTTGCTCTAGTGTCCGTCCTTCACGAAACTCAGAGCAATGGAGGCAACCTCCAAGGGGCAGATCCATTACCAACTGATGAATTGTGCCTGCCGCTAATGGAAATCAAACGCTATACATTGCCATTTGATTGGACTGTGATGCACTGAAGCCAAATTCAAGACTGATTTAAAAAAAATAAAAACCAACCTGCCAGCTTAATGAAATGCTGTTGCAGAGAGGAGGGGCTGGGCCTGGCCCCAGCAGACCCAAGATGATGCTTTCAGTCATCGATGTCATTCACTCCACCTGGAGCCAGGAGAGGCCTGTCCAGTCCACGGGACCAAGTCCAAGCTGCCCAAGCCAGTGGGGTCGGCAGGCCTGGCCCACAGGGGCCTGGACTACTCAGAGGGAAGCTGGTAAAAGCAGGGCTTAGTCCAGAGCCCACATTTGTGGCCTCTGGCCGGGGACACAGCTGAGGCTAGAGCAGCAGGAGGACTACATTTCCCAGAGTCCCCCACAGCCTGGGAGCGAGCCATTGGAAGATTTAAATAGCCCAGGCCCGAGGCAGCGGCCGCAGCTGTGGACCCGACCGCCTTCCCCGTGGCTCCATTGGCGCTGGCCCACAGTGGTGGGCTCGATTGGCTGCCTAGCTGGCATTGACGTCCCTTGGAGCCTGGTGGCAGCCGGAGGTAAACAGCCATGTGCAATCTTCCACTCTATATTTAACAGCTGCTGCGGAGAAGGCAGGGACGCAGAGAGCAGTGGCAGCTCCGGGGACAGCTCTTGTCTTGGGGAGAAGGCCCTCGCAGCCGGGCTGGCACCAGCCCTCACAGTGTCAGCGTCACCATGCCAGCCTCCCAGAACCGGGCCCGTGCCCGGGACCGCAACGTCCTCAACCGGGCCGAGTTCCTGTCCCTGAACCAGCCCCCCAAGGGGGTCCCGGAGCCCCGCAGCTCCAACAGGAAGGCCTCAGGACCCTCGGTGCAGCCCCCACCCCCTGGCGACGGGGCCCGCGAGCGACGCCAGTCTCAGCAGCTGCCCGAAGAGGACTGCATGCAGCTGAACCCGTCCTTCAAGGGTATCGCCTTCAACTCCCTGCTAGCCATTGACATCTGCATGTCCAAGCGGCTGGGGGTGTGTGCAGGCCGGGCCGCATCTTGGGCCAGCGCCCGCTCCATGGTCAAGCTCATTGGCATCACGGGCCACGGCATCCCCTGGATCGGGGGCACCATCCTCTGTCTGGTAAAGAGCAGCACGCTGGCTGGCCAGGAGGTGCTTATGAACCTGCTGCTGGGTAAGTGTACCGGTGTCTGCCACCCACCCCGCCAGGACCAGCGGGGCCCTTGAAGCCGACTGGAATGAGCTAATGAGATTAGGCAGGAAGGGTGTCCCAGAAATGGGCAAGCTTCCGGCTTGGGAAAGAGAGAGCCAGGGATGCGCAGAAGAGGGCCCCCAGCAAAGAGGGGGTTCCTCAAGAATGTGGAGGCCCAGCAGGAACCTCTAAGGAAGGGCCCTGCTCCCCAGAGGCACCTTTGGGGTGGGGGGTGTGGGAGGCTTGGGCCTCAAGGGGGATGATCAGGGGTCTGGTGGGGACCCTGGAGAGGGAAGTAACTCCCATCCACAGGTTGGGGTCCTTGAGTTTCTACACTGCTTGCAGTCAGCACTTATGGTCTGTCCCCATACCCCTCTGCTTGGTTCGGGGACCCTGTAAGCTGCCTAGGATTCTCCCACAGTGCCTGGAGGTGCAGGGGGTCCAGTCTGGGGCTCCCACATACTTGTGGCNGATCTCAGGGGACGCACCTGAGCACCCAGTTTTTTTGGCACTTGCCACTTGAGCCACTTATTCATAGTCTGCTTTAGTGCACAGGGATGTATGTGTGAGGACAGCCATGCGAGAATAGTTTTGCGTAGTCACAAAATGGAAACAATCTACGTGTCCAATAACAGGATTACTTCTATAAACTATGGCCTATCCATGTGACAGAATGACAAACAGCCATTGAAAAATGATGGGCTGTAACAGAAATATGGCCAGGTTTATAGTTGTTAAATGAAAAGGGTAGGTTATTTTTTTGAAGGGCATATAATGTAACATATATATATATATATATATATATATATATTAAATTGGGGACTTGGGGGAGGGGACCAATGTTGAGGAATTGGGGATGGGGACCAGCCAAGTTGTTATTCTTCAATCTTGGAGGGTGCCAGTCACCACCTGGCTGCCCATCAGCAGCTCGTGGCTCCTAAGCTCAATGTGCTGTGTTCAATCTTAGTTGCGGGTGGGCATAGCCACCATCCCATGCGAGAGTTGAATCCGGCAGCCTTGTTGTTAAGAGCGTGCGCTGTGTCCACTGAGCCATATGGACAGCAGCTCAGCTCAAGGTGCTGAGTTCAGTCTTAGTTGTGAGTGGGCATAGCCCACCATCGAACAGGCAGTCTTGTTGTTAGTAGCACGTGCTCTCACCAGCTGAGCCATCCTGCCACCTGTTGGCAGCTCAGCTGCAGTTCAGCTCGGGTACAGTGTCACTGGCCCATGTGGGAATCGAACCGGCAGCCCTGTTGCTCAGAGCTCGTGCTCTTAAGCTAACTCTTAACCAACTGAGCCACTCGGCTGGCCCTGTAATATATTTTTAAATGCATATTTGTGTGTGTGTGTGTGTGTGTGTGTGTATCATATACATAGATACAGTTTGTTTAGTATATATATGTCTGGTTATTAAAGTAATACTTGGTGGTTGTAAAATATTTCAGTAATTGGAGATGAGACAAGGGAGAATTCCTTTATAATCTGACTACCTAGTGTTCACAGAGGTAGTCTCCAGATAGTAGGATTACACCTATATCACCTGTACTTACTGAATTTATTGAAGCAAACGTGCAACCATTTTGATAATAAGAAAAAATAAGGCTATTGGTAAAATTACACTGTTTTATAAAATGACTAATATTTAATGAGTGTGTATCCTATCTCCCCAGCTAGACTGCAGGAAAAGATCAATGAAAGTATAGATTCAATGAATGAATGAATTCTAAGACTCTTGAGAAGAGCGACTGTGTGGCCTGTGGCAGGCACTCATAGAGGGATGGCACCTGCTTCTCAGCTGCCTGAGAATGTGAACAGGGTCGCCTCACCTTACAGAGAGAGGCCAAGATGCTGACACAGGCCTCTGGGTATTAATAGCTCCTGTCTGGGCTGGGCTCCTCTGGCCCTCGTGGGGTCAGCCCAGGTCCTGGGCCCCATCCAGGAAGAGTGGGGTGAGTGCCCTGGTGGGCAGCTGAGAGAGCACATCCAAGTCCTGGTGGTCTCAGGGATCTGAGTCCAGAGGCCCTCGCGTCCCACACCAGGGACTTCTTGGGTATCGGACGCCCCCTCTTTGGGGCTGGAAGCCTTCAGGCTCTGAGCCTCAGCTTCCTCGTCTGTAAAATGGGGATGATATCATGCCTTCACAGGAAGGTTGGTTGTGTGGTGTCAGTAAGAGAGCACATAGAGAGCTCAGTGCACTCTGCACTGCCTGCCACCCGTGTGCTCTGCATACATGTTCACGTGCATGTGTCCAGGTCCAGGATAAAGCGGGCACAGGTCATCATGCTACAGCCAACAGGGAGGGATGTGACATAGCCTGGGACATCCTCCTCTGTGGCTGCGTCTAAATGGAACACTCTGGAAAAGGAATGCCACAGAGTCTACAAGGAAACACAGACTGAAGGCTCCTGGAGTCTGGCTTCATGCCAGCCAGGGATGGGGTGGGTCTGGACCTTGGGGGTTGGTCCTTCCAAAGGGAAAGAGGACTGTGCCTCGTTTGCTAAACAGAACCCGTTCCTAACCCCCAGTGTTGAAGGCTCACTGTGTGGCAGGCACCCTGCTCTCAGAGACCTCACAACAGCCCTTGGAATAGTAACACTGTTATTTCCCTGTTACAGGTGGAAAAACCCAGACCCAGAGAGGTCAAAGGACTTGCTCAAAGTCTCACAGCTAGCTGGTGGCCAGAGCCCCGGGTCATCCCTCATCTGCCTGACTCTGGAGCCCATGGGCTGGTTCCCTGTGGCCAGAGAGCACTCACCCCCACCTCAGGCAGCTTCCTGTCCTTGGGATGCTCTGCACCTGGTCCCCAGAAGGCTGTGGGGCAGGCCTGGGCTTCATGAGCAGGCTCAGTGATTGGAAGGGAGTCACGGCCTCCTCCCAGTTGGGTAGACAGGCCTTGGCTGCCCTGAGCCATGAGACGGGGGCATTCACTGCTGACTCTTCTGGTCACCCGAAACCAGTGAGCCCTAAAAGGGCTGTGGAGACTTTCCCGCAGTCACCCGGGTGGGTGTAGGAAGGCCTGACTCAAACTCAGAATCCTCCTTGAGTGGGTCCTCTGAGTTTGCCCTCTCTAGGTTTCCAGTCCCTTTTGCCCGCTTTGCTCCATTCACAAGCCCCCTGGGCCTCTCAGCCCTCACAGGATAGGCTGTCCCCTGCCCGGGACAGCCCGGGAGCCCTGGTTCTATTCCTGCAACACGTCTGCACACTTGCAATCACTTACATGTGTCATTCATTTAATCCTCACTGATCTGTGAGCTTCCCGGGGACAAGGATGGAGCCTTTCATTTGCTGCAGTGTGCCAGGCACCTAGCATGGTGCCAGGTGCTCGGTAACTATTTACGGGTTGCCTGAAGTTGCTCTAGTGTCCGTCCTTCACGAAACTCAGAGCAATGGAGGCAACCTCCAAGGGGCAGATCCATTACCAACTGATGAATTGTGCCTGCCGCTAATGGAAATCAAACGCTATACATTGCCATTTGATTGGACTGTGATGCACTGAAGCCAAATTCAAGACTGATTTAAAAAAAATAAAAACCAACCTGCCAGCTTAATGAAATGCTGTTGCAGAGAGGAGGGGCTGGGCCTGGCCCCAGCAGACCCAAGATGATGCTTTCAGTCATCGATGTCATTCACTCCACCTGGAGCCAGGAGAGGCCTGTCCAGTCCACGGGACCAAGTCCAAGCTGCCCAAGCCAGTGGGGTCGGCAGGCCTGGCCCACAGGGGCCTGGACTACTCAGAGGGAAGCTGGTAAAAGCAGGGCTTAGTCCAGAGCCCACATTTGTGGCCTCTGGCCGGGGACACAGCTGAGGCTAGAGCAGCAGGAGGACTACATTTCCCAGAGTCCCCCACAGCCTGGGAGCGAGCCATTGGAAGATTTAAATAGCCCAGGCCCGAGGCAGCGGCCGCAGCTGTGGACCCGACCGCCTTCCCCGTGGCTCCATTGGCGCTGGCCCACAGTGGTGGGCTCGATTGGCTGCCTAGCTGGCATTGACGTCCCTTGGAGCCTGGTGGCAGCCGGAGGTAAACAGCCATGTGCAATCTTCCACTCTATATTTAACAGCTGCTGCGGAGAAGGCAGGGACGCAGAGAGCAGTGGCAGCTCCGGGGACAGCTCTTGTCTTGGGGAGAAGGCCCTCGCAGCCGGGCTGGCACCAGCCCTCACAGTGTCAGCGTCACCATGCCAGCCTCCCAGAACCGGGCCCGTGCCCGGGACCGCAACGTCCTCAACCGGGCCGAGTTCCTGTCCCTGAACCAGCCCCCCAAGGGGGTCCCGGAGCCCCGCAGCTCCAACAGGAAGGCCTCAGGACCCTCGGTGCAGCCCCCACCCCCTGGCGACGGGGCCCGCGAGCGACGCCAGTCTCAGCAGCTGCCCGAAGAGGACTGCATGCAGCTGAACCCGTCCTTCAAGGGTATCGCCTTCAACTCCCTGCTAGCCATTGACATCTGCATGTCCAAGCGGCTGGGGGTGTGTGCAGGCCGGGCCGCATCTTGGGCCAGCGCCCGCTCCATGGTCAAGCTCATTGGCATCACGGGCCACGGCATCCCCTGGATCGGGGGCACCATCCTCTGTCTGGTAAAGAGCAGCACGCTGGCTGGCCAGGAGGTGCTTATGAACCTGCTGCTGGGTAAGTGTACCGGTGTCTGCCACCCACCCCGCCAGGACCAGCGGGGCCCTTGAAGCCGACTGGAATGAGCTAATGAGATTAGGCAGGAAGGGTGTCCCAGAAATGGGCAAGCTTCCGGCTTGGGAAAGAGAGAGCCAGGGATGCGCAGAAGAGGGCCCCCAGCAAAGGGGGGGTTCCTCAAGAATGTGGAGGCCCAGCAGGAACCTCTAAGGAAGGGCCCTGCTCCCCAGAGGCACCTTTGGGGTGGGGGGTGTGGGAGGCTTGGGCCTCAAGGGGGATGATCAGGGGTCTGGTGGGGACCCTGGAGAGGGAAGTAACTCCCATCCACAGGTTGGGGTCCTTGAGTTTCTACACTGCTTGCAGTCAGCACTTATGGTCTGTCCCCATACCCCTCTGCTTGGTTCGGGGACCCTGTAAGCTGCCTAGGATTCTCCCACAGTGCCTGGAGGTGCAGGGGGTCCAGTCTGGGGCTCCCACATACTTGTGGCCTCCTGAACTTCATACCTGCTGCTTCCCTAGGTGAGTTGCTGGAGGAGAGGGCCTGCTGAGCTGGTCTTTGGTTTGTTTTTCCAAAGTCTTTGCCACCAGTTCTTTCAGTTCAGCACTGCCCTGTGCCAGGCGCCACGTGCAACCCATGTGGAAGATGGGCCCTCCCCTCCACCCAGAAGGTGATGCCCAGCCCCCGGCTAGCCACCCCCCAGGCACTCCAGTTCCCCAAGGTGCCTGGGGAATTTCTCATCCCACCCTCCCTGCTGGGCCCATGTCCATTCTCTCACCCTTCCCAGCACGACCACCATTTGGGCTTCATGTGGGCGGGGATCTCTGGCTAAGCAAACACTGACAAGGGGTCCCAGTTTCAAAAGGGGTATGAGTTGGATCCCAGAGAACTGTGTCCCAGAGGAAGTTATGAAAACGTGTGTCTCTCTGCTCTCATCTCAGAGTCTGGGGCTGGACGCTCTGTGGGTGGGACGTGGGGAGGAGGAAACAGTCAGGTGCTTTGTGCAGGAGAGGGCGGGCCTGGTACCATCAACATTCTCTTGTTCTTAGTACTAAATTATTTACATCACATGTTATTTATCCCAAATAAACAGTCCTGCGTGACTAGTGCTATTATCCTTCCCACTTTACAGATTAGGAAACTGAGGCTCCTATAAGTAAAGCCACCTGGCCAACGGTTGAGAGCGGGAGATTTGCACCAGGTCTGCCTGACGTCCAGGCCTGTGCTCTTCCCAGGAGCCTTGCCATGGGCTTGGGAGGGAGGGGACGAGCAAGGTGGCCTAGGCACCATGAGGGGGCTCCTGGGGGCAGAACCCTGCTCTCCTTACCGAGGCTTCCCCAGCACCCACTGCAGTCTCACATGGCGCATGGCTCAAGAAAACGTGTTGGGGGTTAGGTGGCCTGGTGTCAAAGGACAGGGGTGGGAGAGCTTCCTCGAGCCCGCTCTGCGGACCCCTCTGATGGTGGGGGTGGTGAAGCTGTATTCGTAATTTGTTCAGTGTTTGCTGTGTGCCCGGTTTTGCATAAGCCACACCATCACTTCTTATCCTTACCACAACCCCACAGGGGAGAAGCTGTTATTCTCCATTTAAAGAGGAGGAGACGGAGGCGGAGGCAGAGGGACGGGCCAGGATTAGAACTGGGAGCGACTGTAGCTTGTTAGGAGACGGTGCTGGCTCATTCCAGGAACCTGCTGCTGTGGGCGCAGAGGTGTTGCCTTCAAAGAACAAGAGTCAAGATGCCTCCCTTGAGTATGAATGACAGTTGCTTTTAAGTTTTTTAAAACATCATTTACTGAGCTTCATTACATACCAAATGCTATGCTATGAATGTCCCATATTTCATGATTTAAAAATCTTTTTCATGACCTTATAAGGTAAATATTAACATACCCACTTTACAGATGTGTTAACTGAGGCTCAGGTGGGTCAAGGGACTTGCCTACCCCTCACGATTGGAAGTGGTAGGTCGGGGACCCAAACCCAAGTCCTGCAGACTGCAAACCCCTCACCGTCCCCCTCACCATCAGTCTGCAGGTTGGGCGTCCCCCCATCTGTTCTAAAGTGTGTGCAGTGAGGAGGCGAAGGGTCTGGGAGGAGGTTTTCCGTCTGCCAGCACCTTTGCAGGTGCATCCAGGTACTGAGACCACGGAGAGATAAGGGCCTGGAGCAAAGCAGCCACTCAAAACTGGCCGCTCAGAGCAGGCAGGCTGGTCTGTGGGCCCAGGTCGCTGTGTGGAACCTCGGACCCAGCCCCTGGGCTTATGGGCGGAGACTGCAACAGATAACCAAAGCCAGTCGTCACCCCATGGCCCTGGTCCAGCCCTCCAAGAGGGGCTGCCACACTGTCCTCTGCCTGGAAGGGGAAAGCAGACCCTCCGCTGAGCACAGGCTGCAGGGTTCTGTTGTCCATTAGTCTCCTGCAGGGCCTTTCAACCCCAGAGCACAGCCTCTGAGGGCAGACTGGGCAGGGTCCCCGCCTGACCCCGACTCGCTCTGTGAACTTGGTCAAGCTCAGGGCCATGGTGAGGACTCAAGGGGAGCTGGTGAAGCACTTGGCACAGTTGGGTGGCATGGCCCAGAGGGGTGAGGGAGCCCTATCCAGCCTGCCTGCTCACTCCAACACCAGGGCACCCAGCACACCCCTGGGAGAAGTCTCTACTGGGTGCAGAGGTCGTGACCTGCACACTTGGGACCTGGGAGCTCCAGGCGAGGGGCCTGGAACAAGCCCCAGCTGGGCTAGGAAGTTCTCTGCACTGCCCCCTGTGCCACCTCCCCTAGGGCATGCTGCCCAGACTCTGGAACCCTCAAAGCCAGGAAGGGTCTTAGCAGCTGGCAAAAGCCTGGACTCCAGAATCGGCCAGACCTGGGTGCGAGTCCCAGCCCTGCTGTGGGAACCCGGGCAAGTGGCTTTGTCTCTCTGAGCCTCGTTTTCCTCATCTGCTAAATGAGTTGCCAGGACACTTCACTGAAGAATTACACATAAAGTGCTTGGCACATGCGAATGCCACTTAATTATTGTATAGCAGTGATTGTCACCATCATTATCACCATAACCATTATCCAAAGAAGTCTCAGGTCCAGACTCCCTCCAGGTCCCCTCCAAGCTCTGGACCTGTGAGTTGTCCTGATTCCGCCTTTGTCCCTCTCCTGCAGCACCTGGCTTGATTACCCCAAAGGGAGCCAGGTTACAGGTGACCCAGGCCCATCCTGGTTTCCTCATGGACATGTCCTTGGTGGAAAATGGCCTCTGTGTCTTAACTGCCATGATCTGTGAAAGCATCTTTATTGAGATCTTCCTAATGCTGATAACTATACATTCTTTTCCTCTCATATTTGTATGTGGTAAAGTAGACATAACATGCAATTCGCCATTTTAACCATCGCTAGGTGTACAGTTCAGGGGCATTAAGTGCAATCGCACTACTGTGCAGCCATCCCCACCGCCCATCCAGGACTTCCTCATCTTCCCAAAGTGAAACTCTGTCCCCACTAAACACTCACTCCCCGTCCCCTCCCCAGTCCCTGGTAACCACCGTTCTACTTTCTGTCTCTATGAATTTGTCTACTGTAGGGACCTCATATGAGTGGAATCATACAGTATTTGTCCTTTTGTATCTGGCTTCTTTCACTCGGCGTAATGTCCTCATGGTCCATCCATGTGGTAGCAGGTGTCAGGATTTCCTTCCTTTTAAAGCTGAATAGTATTCCATGGTGTGGATGGACCACGTTTTGTTTATCCATCATCTGTCAGCGGACACTTGGGTTGCTTCTGCCTTTTGGCCATTGTGAATGATGCTGCTGTGAACATGGGAGTGCCGACATCTTTTTGAGGCTGCTTTTTCTTCTTTTAGGTGTGTACTCAGAATTGGAATTGGTGGATCGAATGATAATTCTATGTTTAGTTTTTTGAGGAACCCCCATACTGTTTTCCATAGCAGCGGGGCCATTTTCCATTCCCACCACCAGGGCACAAGGGTTCCAGTGTCTCCACATCTTCACCTACACTTGCTATTTTCTGTTTTTTTGCACAATACCGTCCCAATGGGTGGGAACATGGTATCATGGTTTTGATTTGCATGCCCCTAATGATTAGTGATGTTGAGAACCTTTTCATTATACATTCCTATGGTAAGGAAAATACAAACATTACAAGACTAGATGATGAAAAAAGTGAGCACCCTCCCAAACTCCTCCCTGGGAATCACCTTCATTACAGCTTGGGTCGCGAGCCTCTGGGCTTTTCTCTGGGCGCATGCTAACATACGGCATGTGTCAAAATTCCTGCAGTGTTTTGCTCAGCTTGACCTCGACCTGCTGCGCCCTTCACCTCCCTTTTGGAATCACGGTCTCGGCCCCTCATGTCCCTGCATACTTGAGGGGTTCAGAACCCAGAACTGGCTTTCTCAGTCTTGCAGCACCCCACCCTACCCCCCAGCTACCTGGCAGCATCCCTCTCCCCTCAAACCCCCCTTCCTGCTGGCAGACGCCCCATATAATCTCTTCTGTGGGCTGTCCCACCCCCACCACCAGCCCCTGCTCCTGGGGACAGCCTAGGGGACAACCCTCCACGAGGCCTGTCCCTAACTGAGGGATATTTAAGCTGATCCCAACTTCACTTTCAGGAACACGCCTGCTAGAGATGACACCTGCCCGCTCTGCAGAGGCAGGACATTCCGTCGCCCTTTCCCCAGCTTCGCTTCTCATCATCTCAGTGGGGCTCAGCAAGCCGAATAGTCGGTCCCTCCCGCAGGGGAGTTTTTGGTGGCCCCCTGACAGGTCAGGTCCCTTCTGCAGTGTCCTGGCAGCTGCCATGCAGCTAACACGGAAACGAAAGCAGCAGGTGTGCAGTGGGAGGGAGGCATTGTCCCTGCTCCGGAGCCTGCCCCTCAGCTGGGGGAGCAGACCCTGCGGTCGGACTTCCATGCCCACGATTTTTATGTCCTCGCACCCCGATAGTCTTCAGAGACACTCCGATAGTCTTCAGAGACAGACAGAGCCAGCTTTAGTATTTGGACTCTTCAGGTAAAAAAACAGAAACCAGCTAAGTTATGGGATTCACTCAGAGTCACTCAGGCTAGGGGAGATAGAGACAGACCAGGACCCTCATGTCAGCACCAAAGCCAGCGGGCAGCGGCTCTGGCTGAAGGAGGGGCTGCCCTGGTCAGGAGAGAGGCCGGGCGTGTGCACACGCGCACACACATGCACGTGCACGTGCACTCGCACACTGCTCACACCAAAAAAGCAGATGTCCCAGAGCCAAAAGACAAGTGTTCCTGCCCCCACCCCCACCCCGCCCAGGACCTCCCTTCCGCCCACCCTCCCTGCTCTGTGGGCCCCCCAGGAGCCGTGTTTGTATGTGTGTGCTAAAATGCACATAACATAAAATTTGCCATCTTAACCATTTTTAAGTGTACAGTCCAGTGGCATTAAATACATTCACACTGCTGTGCAGCCATCCCCACCATCCATCTCCAGGACTTCCTCGTCTTCCCAAACTGACACTCTGTCCCCATTAAACACGACTCCTCATCCCCTCCCCCAGCCCCCCCTCGCCACCCCATAACCTCTAATCTACTTCCTGTCTCTGTCAATTCTCTTATTCTAGGCATCTCATATAAATGAAGCCGTGCAATGTTTGTTTTTTGCAAAACTAACTTTTAAAAAATGTGTATAAATAATGTGTCTTCATGGTAAGAAAAAATTTTAAATGCAGAATTACAGAAAGGCAATAAAAATCACCCTCCATCTTCCCACCCAGCGAGAAGCACAGTTAACATTTAGTGTGGTGCCTTCCAGACGTTTTTTCTCTGCATATGAACACATTTACATCTTATTTTACAAAAATGGCATCCTACTGTGAATCCTGTTTGGCAATTGGCCTTTTCCCTTTAGCTCTCCTCGGTGGCTATAAATACACATCCGCTTCATCCTTCTTGGTGGCCCGGAGTGCTCCATTGTCTAGACTTGGCCCCAGTTTGTCCCATCCGTCTCCTGCTCAAGGGCGCTGGGTTGGTGCGCGTCTTCCAGTGTTAACGGAGAATGCCGCAGTGGGCATCTTGACCATGAATCGTGGTGCACATCCGTAATTATCTCCCGAGGAGATTCCTGCAAATGGAAGAGCTGAGTCAAGGCAGACATGTTGTGAAGACCCCTGAGTTGAAGCCAAATGCCCTTCAGAAAGTTGACATGTGTCCACCCTGCCCCGCAGCAGTACCAGCTGGCCTCCGTCTCCCGGAGAAGCTGGAATGGGGAACTGGAGGCAGGGTCGACCCCCAGGCCAGAAGAGCCAGGACCCCTCCTCTCAGCCACCCCCCTCCGCCAGTGAGACCCCGCTCACAAAACTGTCCCCTCACCAGCCAACAAGGAGTCCTATCTTTGCTCTCTCCCCAGAGACAGGTGTCAGGTGTCAGGACAGCAGGGCCTGGGGGCTAGTTGTGCTTCCTGCGTGGGGGTTGCAGGCATCTCAGACCCCAGCTCAATGAGGGGCTGAGACTGTGAGGCCAGAAGGGTGAGAGAGGTGGTGGGGCCGAGCCCTGCCTCCCAGGCCCCATTTAGGGAGTCCCTGCTGCGAGGGACCCTCAGAGTAGCTCTGGGATGATCCCCATTTTGCCCATGAGGGGAGGGGTGCGCCGAGGGATGGATGTGCCAAGGTCATGCAATGTGTTAGCATGACCTTGAAGCTGGCTCTGATCCTGGAGCCCAGGTGCAAAGGCACCACCCTAGTTGACTGCAGGGAGCAGAGGCCCGGGGAGGTGAAGTGACCTGCTCCGGTCAGAGAGCAAATCCGAAGCAGCTGGCTTCAGCCACCCTCCTGACCCCAGCCGCTGAGCCTCGTGCCCGGCAGGCCTTCCCCTTGGGGGCCCCCAGGCCTCCCTCTGGGTGTGTGGGGAGGCTGGCAGGGGGGATATAGGTCAGGGAATTCAACTGGGCCATGTGAGCTGGATTCACAGAGCCTTGAGTGATGGCGCCATTTGCTTCTATTTCTGGGCCCCAGATTATGCGCTGACGGTGTCAGAATGCCAGCCCCACGGAGGGCTGGCCGCGAGGCTGGAGGAAGGAGTGGCCCTGCAGGGCCAGCAAGTGGGGTGTCTGGGGCAGGCCTGCAGCCTGAGCACTTGCCCGCGGCTTCTCCTTCCATCCCCTCACACAGACGACCGCAGCGAGGCGAGGGGGCGCCGCCGCCACGCGTCACACCTGCAGAGCGTCTCTCCATCACTCTTGCTCCCTGCCCATCTCCTCCTCAGAAGCAAAGCACCCTGCCAGCCTAGTTCACCAGCCCCAGGCCTGGCCCACACCTGACAGACCCAAGAACCGGCGATGCCCAAAAACAAGGTCAAGTGAGTGCATGAGCCAGGCGCAGCGTGTGCTGGGCCAGCTGGCTGGCCAGGCCGGCCCAATGGTCCCCCCAGGCACACGGTGAAGGGGCAGAGACCCGGGTGGAAAGAGCCTGTCGCTGGGGTGAGGGAAGGGCCTCACTGGGCTGGAGAGGCCGGCTGACTCCCCTCGGCCTGGCCTCCTGCCTCTGCTGCTCTGTTAGGCCCAGAGTCCTAGGGGTCAGATGCAGCTGCCCCCCTCCAGCCCCCAGCCGCCCTGATGGTCCCTCTCCTGCTGGAACGATGGCCTCTCACGGGCTGCATGTGGCTCCCCGCCTGAGCCTGGCCTCTGCTGAGTCTGCAGCACACAGGTTAGCTGGCCACACACCTCCCAGGCCTCCTTCCTGGGAGGCCTGGGCTCTTGGGAACACATTGCCATGGAAATCCGTGGCAGGCACGTGCAGAACCAAGTTTCCTGGCTCCTTTGGGTTCCTCCTCTCGGGGCAGGCAGCCTATCCTGCCACTGCTTCCTGCTGCTGCTCCGTCTCCCTTGCTGGCCAGGCCTGTCCCGGGGCGGGTGGACATCAGCCGGCCCTGTGGCTAATGATGGGGCAAGCCCAGGGGAGGCCAGGGGTTCAAATCCCAAGCCAAGAGCCCGGTGGCAGGCAGGAAACGAGGAAGGCTGAGCAGGTCTGCACAAACCAGGGAGGGCAGCGTTGTTTGGAAGCGATCGTTACGTCCAGCGCTGTGACCCGGGCAGAGGCCACAATGCCTCTTCCGCTCGCTGTGGGGTTCCGGGTGTGTGTGATGTGGCAACTTTCAACAGCAGGTGACAGGACAGTGTGCGGAGCGTGCTATAGCCTTTGTTAAATCTATGCTCTATAGATGGTAGAAGGGACTGGAACCGTGGCTACCTCTGGGTGACAGGATTATAGGTGATGCAAAATCATTTGTAAGTTTTCTACAGCAGACATCTACTGTGCCGTTTTTTCCAACAGTTTTTTGTTGTTGTTGTTGTTGTTTTCTGAGAGAGAGCATTTGCAGGCCAACAATTTTGATATCCACTGCGGCGTTTCTAGGAAAGCACCCACCGCCAGAACTGTCATGTGGTGATCATCTGCCACCCTCCTCAGGCCCCTCCCGGGTGGCAGGCAGAGGGCGGGGGACCAACTCTTTTGATATGAAATGTCCAGAATAGGCAAGTCCATAGAGACAGAAAGCAGATTGGTGGTTGCCAGGGGCTGGGGGGAGGGAGGATGAGGAGGACTGCTTAATGGGTACAGGGTTTCCTGTCGGGGTGCTGAAATGCTTTGGAACTGGAGAGAGGTGGTGGCTGTACCTTGTGAATGTACTGGATGCCACAGAACTGTCCACTTACAAATGGTTCATTGCAAGTCACGTTGCATTTCACCTCAACTTAGAAAAAGTGAGGATGGTAACGCCCTGTTCTCAGAGCTGGCTGGGGCTTTCGTGAGGTCCTTTGAGGAAAGTCACTAGCCCAGATTCCCGCTTGTCAGAACTCAGATCCTCTGAGGTGCCCTCAGTGGCCCGTGACAGGCCCGATTGCCCACTCTGTCACGAACACCTCCCAGCCGTGAGCAGATCGTGTCCTGGCCTCTATGGAGTGCATGTCGTGGGGGGAAGAGAGAGGACAGAACTGCACGAGAATATGTGTGATGTGTCAGGCCGTGGAAATGCCGGAAAGAAAAATAAAGCAGGGAGGGGGGATAGAGAGGGATGGGGCTTTTGAAACAGGTGGTCAGGGAAGGCACCTGGGCTGAAAGAAATGGGGGCATGAGGTGTGTGACTATCCCAGGGAAAGGCATTCTGGGTAGAGGGAACAGCACAAGCAAAGGCCCTGAGGTGGGAGTGTGGCTGGGGTGAAGGGCGGGAGGAGAGAAGAGGAGGAGGGGGCACTGACCGCCCCTCGGGGCCTCCCTCTGCCGCCACAGCCCTGCTCCTGGACATCATGACGGTGGCCGGTGTGCAGAAGCTCATCAAGCGGCGAGGCCCATTCGAGACGAGCCCGAGCCTCCTGGACTACCTCACCATGGACATCTACGCCTTCCCCGCTGGGCACGCCAGCCGCGCGGCCATGGTGTCCAAGTTCTTCCTCAGCCACCTGGTGCTGGCGGTGCCACTGCGCATCCTGCTGGTCCTCTGGGCCTTCTGCGTGGGCCTGTCGCGCGTGATGATCGGCCGTCACCACATCACGGACGTCATCTCGGGCTTTATCATCGGCTACTTCCAGTTCCGCCTGGTGGAGCTCGTCTGGATGTCTTCCAACACTTGTCAGATGCTCATCTCTGCCTGGTGAACCTCTGCCGCGTCGCTCTGGCAGGAGGAGGCAGGGCCGGCGGGGGAGGGGTGGCCTGGTGACCTCAGGTGGGCCCACCCAATGACTGGCATGCCCGGGATAGTGCCGGGTGGCCCCTGCTCCTTCGCTTGGACTCAGTCTCTTTCTAGGCAGGCCAGGACCCAGCGTGGGGACAGCCCTGCTTAGCTTCCGCTCTGGAGGTAACAGGTGAGTGCCAAGGTGGCAGGAGAGGGACCGAATCTTGTCTTAGCCTTCATCATCACGACTGTTGAGTTCTTGGCTGTGCCCACCATACCCCAGTGCGATGCCTGGCAAAATACCCCCAACCTACCACCCAACACAGGTGCCATTAACGGCCATCGAGCGCTTAGGGCAGCACTTTCTACCAGACACCAGCTTGCAAGACATTTTGGGAAGAAAAAGGGTTTTGTGGTCAAATAAATTTGGGAAATGCTGCATACTCTGCCCCCAGGTTGGACATTCACAAGGGTTGTTCTTGTTGTAAAGGCTCTGACAAGTCCTGTAGGAAAGCTTCTTGTCGAACCTTCTGTAACCCCATGTTTCCTAAGCTTATTTGACCACAGAACCCTTTTCTAATGGAACAGCTATTAACCCCCAAGGAACTGCCGTTTCCTCAAGCTCGTTTTGCTGCCCAGGAGCCGAAGGGCCTGAGGCGTGAGCTGGCCTCTCCCAGCGCTGACCAGCGCCACAGCCTGTGGGAAGCCCACGGCCCATGGGCATCGGTGCCGCTTTGGCCCCCAGGGGCCGGACTCCGTGTGACCTAATAGGTCGTTTCCAAGTTAACCGTTATGGATGTGCATTTTATGTGACAATACAGGTGACATGCAAACGGACCCTCTCCTGTGTGGTTTTTCCTTGTGTGGTACAAGAGTTTCCAGGCAGGAGAGTCTCTGTTAACATGGGGGTGCGGGGTGGGGATGATGGGGGGCTGGAGTCTCTGTTAACATTGTGGGGAAGGAAAAGCCGATTTTTTCATCCGCAGATGGCCCGTGGTCTCTGGTGGTCTGGCGACAATGGGCTGCTGGGTTTCCCAGGCTGGTTGGTCCCTTCTGCCTGAGGTCCCGTCTGGGGCACCCTTTATCCCCCAGGCCCCACACTGGCCACTCTGCCCAGCTCCCACTGTGATGCTGATGGAGATGCCCCCGGGGGCCAAGAACCTCTCTCACTCCAGTTTCCAGACTCTGCATTGCTCCCTCTGACTTGGCCCCTGCCCCCCGGAAAATGGACAAGTGACCAGGCAGACACAGTCAAGCCTGAGGAAAGCTGCCATGAAGGCCATACAGGAGCTTTACCCAGAGATCGGGTGCCAGGGCAGGCAGGGGTCCTGGGGAAGGGAGAGGGGGGCTAGTGAGTGGGCCAGGAAGGTGGGGAGAGTGGTCTGGCAGAGGGAAGACAGGGACAAAGGCCAGGAGGCAAAAGGGGCCTTACCTGTGACAGATGAGCAGGGCAGTCCGAGGGACTGCACCCCGAGTGCAGGGCAGGGTAATCAATGTGCCCATTGTATAGATGAGAAAACAGAGGCCCTGAGAAAAGAGGCGACTTGCCAGGTTGCCCAGCCAGGAGGCAGCACCACGGTGTGAGAATCAGTCTGTCTGTGAAAGCCCACAGCCCATGTTCTCCCCACCTCAGCTTCCCACATCGGCCTCTGTGTGGTCCTTCCGAGAGAGACAGGGATGAGCTGGATGTTGGTGCTGACACACAGTGGGTACGTTTCCCAAGCTGCCATCACGAAGAACCACAGCCCAGTGGCTTAAAACAACACAAATGTATTCTTTCACAGTCCTGGAGGTTTGAAGTCCAGAATCAAGGTGTCGGCAGGGCCACGCTGCCTCTGAGGCGCTGGGTAGAATGCTTCCTTAACCCTCCCAGCTTCTGTGGTGCCGGCAGTGCTTGGCGTTTCTCGGCTTCGGCTGCATCGCTCCCACCCCTGCCTCCATTGTCACAGCGCGTTCTCTGCGTGTCTGTGTGCCTCCTCTTCTTACAAGGACACCAGTCGTATTGGGTGAGGGCCCGCCCTACTTCAGTATGGTCTCATCTTAACTTACATCTTAATCCCATCTGCAAAGACCCTATTTCCAAATAAGGTCCTATTCGTAGCTACTGGGAGTTCAGACTTCAACATATCTTTTTGGGGATACATTTCAACACACAACACACAGGATCCCTTGTGGGAGGAAAACAGCTTCCTCTCTGAGCCGGCCCCACGGGGACACTTACATCCGAGGGGCCTGGCTGCCAATGATGAAGGGCACTCGGGTCTCCTGGGCACAGAGCCCTCCATAGGCCCAGCCCTCAGGCCTGACTAGCTTCCCCTCCTGCTGCAGAGACCCCACATCCTCCATGGTCACGGTCCCCTCAGGACCAGTGTCCCTGCAGACAGGACCCAAGCTGTGCCCTGCCCCCTGCCCACCCACCCAAGGCCCCCGGCTTCTCTCTTGAGCCTCCAGCACCCCCAGCCAAGCTGCACACCGTGATTCAAAGTCCCAACTTTCAACCTTGAACATTGGCTGGTTCCGGAGTCTTTAAAATGCATTCTGCACATTCCCAGGGGTGCTCCTGGGCGTTGTGGTTATGAGATGCTGAGCAGAAGGGGCGAGGGCGTCTGCCTTCTCTCCTCGCCCCCACCCTCGGAAATCTGTCATCCGTGGTGGCTTGAGCTCCAGCTTTGGGCTGAGGATAAGGTGCTGCCCTGTGAGGCCCCATCCCCAGCAGGGACACATGTCCCCAGCGGAGGGGCCTGGCATACAGAGGGATTGCGAAAGAAAGAATGAGCTACTTGGACCACGCCCAACCCACCTCACCCCAGAAAAGACCACTTGTCCCCCCTGGGTACTCAGGGACCGGGCAGGATGCTTCGGGGCTTGGATGGACAGGTATCACTGGGGAATGGAACCCAGAGGTGGGTACCTACCCAGGTCAGGGTGGGACCAGTGCTGGCTTCCCACCTCCTCTCCTAACCATGGGGATTTAGATGGGGGGATCCTTTCCCCAGCTGCTGCTGTTTCCTGGGCCCCTCATGCCCGACCTCCTCAATGGTCTGTCCCACCCCTAGGGAAGGAGGAGAGAGGCAGAAAAGACTGAGGCCAAATCTACCTGGAAACCTTGGGTCTCACTCGTGCTCTTAGCCTGCTCATCTCAAGGTCAAAGTGTGTCTTTAGCACAGCCCCAGGACCAAGTGCCAAAACCTTCTGAGGCCTGAAGTCTGAGATGGGAGGGTTGGGGTTGGCAGGAGGGAAGGCCAGGTGGTGCAGATGGGGCTGTGAGCCAGGCCTCCTATGGGCATCTATGGCCTTGAAACCCTGCTCTGCCACTCCCCGTGGGAGTGGGGTGTTGTAAAGCTTACGGAGCTGCAGGTAAATCACGGGTGATGACAGCAGTCCCCAGTGCCCAAGGCTGGGGAGGAACTGATGACCAATGGCAGTGCTGTGGTAAACAGAATAATGGTCCCCCAAAGATGCCCACTTCCTAAGCCGCAGGACCTGTGACTGTGTTACCTTAGGTGGCATTGGGGAATAAAGTAGCAGATGGAATTAAGGGTGCTGATCAGCTGCCCTCAAAATAGGGAGCACCTGGATTACCCAGGAGGCCCAATGTAATCACAAGGATCCTTACATGTGGACGAGGGAGGAGGATGAGGTGAGAGGGATGCGACGTGAGGACTCAGTTTGCACTGCTGGCTTTGAAGATGGAGGAAGGGGCCACACACCAAGAAGCGCAGGCGCCTCTAGAAGCTGAGAAAGGCAAGGGGGTAGATTATCCCCGGGGGCCTCCAGAAGGACCCAGCCCTGCTGACGCCTTGATCTGAGCCCAGTGAGACTGGTGTGGACTTCTGACCCCCAACGGTAAGATAACAAATTGGTGGTGTTTTAAGCCACGAAGCTTGTGGCAATTTGTTCCAGCAATGATGGGAAACCAGCACGAGTGCCTCACTCGGTCCCACCCCACCTGCTGCTGTGGCCATGAGCCTCGCAGCCCCTCTCCCAGCACAAACATCATCAAACCTGGGGGTTCTAGAATCATCCAGCCCAGCAGCCTCTTTTAACAAATGGGGGCGCAGGCTCAGAGAGTGTCCAGGCCACACCAAGTGCCTCAGGCAGTGTGGAGCCTGCCCTGAACCTCCCCCTTGTCCCCCACCCCTACCCCATACGCACACACAAACACACACACAGGCTCCCGGGCTCCAGGCCGTGGGTGGACAAAGGCCAGGGCATCCAGGGGCATGAACTGACCCCTCCTGTCCCGAGCGGTCTGAGCTGTCATGCTTCCCCCACCTGCTGTCCAAAGCCTCTTTCCAATGAAGTGGGGACCAGGATTAAGGGGGTCCCCTGGCCTGGATCTTCAAAGCGTCTCCTTTTGGCCTCCAGCAAAAAGTTCTCATTTGTCAAACTAAACAGGAGGAAGTTGGGGTTCTGAAGACCCATAGCTATTGCCTGGTGATGGTGGGGCTGGAGGTGGGAGAAGCCCTCCCCCAGAATACACCATCGTGGGGGTTAAGGGTGAATTATATCTCCCCTCCACCCGCTAAAATTCATATGTTGAAGCCCTCATCCCCAGGACCTCAGAATGTGACTGTATTTGAAGCTAGGGCCTTTACAGGGTAGTTAAGTTAAAACAAGGTCACTAGGGTGGGCCCTAATCCAATAGGACAGATGTCCTTATAAGAGGAGGAAATGTGGACGTAGACACACACACACACACACACACACACACACACACACACACACACACACACAGGGGAGGCCACGTGAAGACACAGGGAGAAGACAGAGCCTGCGTCTCGGGCTTCCGGCCTCAGGGCTGTGACAAGTCAGTCTGTGCCATTTCAGCCCCAGTCTGTGGCACTTCGTTCTGGCAGCCCTGGGAATACGGCGGGTTTATCAAGTCTGCTGGCTGTCACCTGTCACCTGTCACCACAGGAAGAGATCGCGAGATTGGGACACACACCAGTTGAGTATGGGGGCACATCTGGGGGACACCACACAGCTGCACCCGCCAAGCTGCTCCCAGCAGCTGGGAAGAGCACTGCGCAAAGGGCCGCCCTGGAGGCCCTGTCATCTCCGTAGAACACCACCTCTGGGTCCTGAGCCCTGCCTAGGGGAAGCCACTTCCCAGATGAGACAACTGGTCCAGTACAAAGTCCCCGTGTCCTCAGCCCCTTCCCTGCCTACGGAAAACTCGGGAAGGGGAAGGGGAAGAGAGCGGCAGGAGCTAGAAAAACGCACAACTCTGGGATCAGCTGCCATCTGGCTCCAGGAAGAGACGGAACATCTGGCTGCGGCCACTTTGGCCGGCAGCGTTTATGTAACCCACGTGCGGGCGCATACGGCTCTGCGCAGGCTGGCAGTGAGGCTGGTGCCCTGGCCGTGCTCCACCTGGCTTACCCCGTGTGTGGAAGGGGCCACGTGCTAACAGGGCTGTCTGGGGACCTGCCGACGCTGGGCCACAGTGTCTGGCACGAGGTTGGAGCTCGTGCACCCATGCACGCGCCCACGCCCACGCACGCAGTCGCGCTGTCCGGCAGCCTCCGGGCTTTCACACATAAAATTACACACAGACGATCTCAGCTTCCTCCTAGCTTTAATATCCTGTAACACGCACAGGCACGTCCACACCAAACACATCTTGCAGATGCACACCTGGAAACACGTGTGCACATTTGCACACAGGCACATTTACACATACACCTACTTATAAAATGGTACCAAAAATGGTGCTTACGCCCACAGTAAAACCTCTCCACTTGCCCCTGGTGGGCTTGCACCCCAGCGTAGATGTACACACATGGCCTTGCACACATTTATACACACATCCATGGGTGCTCTTGCACAAGTGT